AGCACATGCCTAGCGTGTGGTGCGTGCTTATAAAGGGCCACTTTTATCCTGAGTGGTACACTCTTTGGCCCTGTTGTACCCAGCTCAACACAATTACCCTCATGAAGACATTTCTTCTGGCTGTGCGTAGCCCTTTATTGTTTACAAAGTACTCTCCCAGAAAGCCACTCTCTGGGAGGAAAAAATGGCTTCAATCCTACCTCAGGAGAGGCCTAGACTTCAAAGCCTTTTTAGAGTTCCCAGTGTGTCTCATCCAGAGTAATCTTGGGTTTCTGAAGCAAAGACATGATCCCAAATCTCCCCGAAAAGCTCTTGTTTAGAATTGCTGACCATTAGAGCCAATAGTCCACTCTGGCTAACTCCTAGGATCCACAGGGACAAGTGTCAAAGGGACAGATGAGTGGATGCCACCCTGGGCCCTGGAGCCCAGGGTTGCTTCAGACACCATCTGGCTCAAGACCAATTACTGTAACTCAAAGCTTTTAAGATGACATACAAAAGAGACAAGCACAAGAATTTCACTTAAGTTTGACACTAACCTATGTGTCCAGAGCCCAGTGGAGCCCAGGGGACCATGGTGGGGGAGTCAGGAAAAAAACTTTGTTGGGAAATTTTTTCGTCATTTTAAATTCCAGATTAACATATTGTATAATTAACTAGTTTTGATGTCCAGTTTGTTTGTTTTTCTGTGAATTGTTTTACACATGATAGGTAAATTCAAGAGAGCAGTTCTCACACCTAAAAAAGCCAGGCATGCACTTCCCCACTCCAGGATCAGATAAACATTAGTCTGTTTTATATCCTAAGGCTTGCCTTTCCTAAAATGTCTGAAAATAAAGTCTTACAGGATGTAACCTGGAAATTTCTATTTTCACTCAGCATACTGTCTTTGAGGTTCATCTGTGTTGATTTTATGGTATTTTATATGGATATCCTGCAAGGATTTTTTTAAATATTCATGCATGGTATTGCTTCTAGTTTGGGATGACTGTGAATAAACCTATAAATAAATAAGCTTGTGCATGTAAGTCATTTCTGTGTGCATATACCTAGAGTGAGAGTCTGGTTGTATAGTATGTGCAATTTTATAAGAAATTGCCCAAGAGCACAGCATAGTGGCATATATCTCTAATCCAGACATGTAGGAGGCTGAGGCAGGAGGATAACTAGTTTGAGACCACCACTGGCCACATAGCAAAACCTGGTCTCAAAATTAAGAAAAGAAATTGCCAAGCTTTCAGAGCTTCCATCTTGTATTCTCACTACTATTGTATGAGAAATCCAGTCTTTTGCCCTCCCTCCCTCTTTCTTATCTTTCCTTCAACTCTATGGGACAGGACCTTTGTGCTTAACAGCATCTCTAATCCTTTAAAAAAAATTTTTCCACTTTTAGAGGGAGTATAGACTGGTGCAACCACTGTGGAGATTCCTCAAAAAACTAGGTTTGGAGGTCCCATTTGACCCAGCTGTTCCCATTCTGGGTAGCTTCCCAGAATAATTAAAAACATCATACCATAATGATGTATGTGTACCCATGTTTAGAGCAGCACAATTTATAATAGGTAGATCTTGGAAACAACCCAAATACCCATCAACTAAGAGAGAAATAAAAGAAATGTGGGCTTTTTATATAATGGAGTACTATTCAGCCATAAAGAAGATAACCTAGAGACAGGTAAATGGATGCAATCTGAGAATATACTCATAAGTGAAATAAAGTAAATGCACATGTATAGACATTGTACTGTCTCCCTATTGGGAGAAGCTGAAGTAAATAAGATCCAAAATGTACAATAGATACTGTAAAATGGGAAGAAACTTCCAAAGGGAAGACAGGAATTTTTTTTTCCAATGTATTTAGTACAGGGTCTCACTACACAGATCAGACTCATAGTGATCCTCCTGTCTTCAGCCTCCCAAGGGCTGCAATTGCAGGTATGCATCACCATGCCCAGTCTCAATCACTGTCTCAGCGTGCCCTGGGGGGCGAAGCCGGTACAGCATGCCGTGGATCAAATCCTGGTCCCTGAACCTGCCTAAGCAGGTGCTTTAGTCCGCTGAGCTATCTGGCCAGCCCTTCAAAAGGGAAGAGAAATTGGGATAGGGGAATGGAGAAGAGAAGGAAGGGGGAAAAAAAGTTATACTACTTATTTCTCTTAGTTCACAGAAAGGAAAGATTTGTGTTAACGTTGGGACAATTAAATGTTCATATCTTGTACTCTGAGTAACTAAAGATAGCAATACACAATGTATTAACCATTGTTACCCTTCAGTTGTCTCAATTTGAATTTTTTTCTCTAGAAAATAAACATGCAGATCAATAAAATATTCAGTGTACATATAAGGTTAGCCTATTCTGAATCGTATGTATTTTTTTAACCACAAAATATGAAACAAAGTACAATATAATCCCATGTGAAGAGAGAACCCTAACCCTGCTTGACGCGACTTCTGGTGTGGAGGACAAGGGAGGTGGGTGGGGAGGAGGTTATTGTTTGGAGGGAAAGTCCCCATCCATAAGGACATTGAGATCTCTGTTAGTTATTTCCTGTCTTCATCTCTAACCTACAGGGTCAATTTGAATAGAAAAAAAAAAAATCTAATGCCATTTTTTCCTTCACTGCATAATTCTGTGAAAATGAGAGCTCATGTTACCATTGGTCAGATATCATTACAGTTATGTTGGGGTGGTGCTTCTCAAAGAAATCCTGGCACTTATTCCATTTCCATAATGGATTGTGTCACATCGCTGCTCTTCCTCAGTGGAATGCTCCTCAACAAGTGTCCTGCTCACTCAAATTCAGCAAATTTCTCCATGGTCAGCTCCTTCTCTTGTTGGTCCTCAACAAGCTCCGTGTCTACACCATCAACGTCCAGACCATCTTTGTGCCTATGGACAGAATCTCCTCCACTCTTGGTGCATCAAACCCTTCCAAGTCACATTCAGTGACACATTCTGGCTACAGTTT